ACCAGGTGCCGTAGGATTGTCAGGGTGGATATCAAAAAATATGGAAATGGTGTCAGCCGAAGGCAAGTTCATACCGGTGCACTCGCCGAGGTATCCGCAATAGCAGCTATTAACTCATGAGGAATGACGACAAATGGGGTGTTTTTGTAAACTTTATCATGTGCAAGAGGTAAGAAAAGTGGAACGTATTCTGGGAGCTGACCGACCGCGAAATCTCTAACAATCGAATTTGGCAATAGGCAATTACTCATGTGAGGTGGTTCAGGGAAATGAGTCCACTGTCAACTCGGGCTTTGAACTTTACAAGCTTGGGACCACAGATGACAGATAGATATATTCACAGTTTGATAACAGAAATTGTGCCAACAGAACCATGGCAGAAGAAGAAAGTGGAGAAGATAGAAACACGAGCTGCGATTTAAAAAATGGGAAACGCTGTTTTTGGTTTTACACGCGCCATTTTGAATTTTTTGTTTTGTGAGTATTAAAGGGGGATAAAATGACAGAACAACCTTGACGCCACTGATGTCTCTTGCGGGCCATGACGTAAAATGTTTCCAACCACTGTGATTCGGCATCTCTTGATCGCCAAGCTGGAAGACGGACTGGTCCGACTGCAGCCAAACTTGAGGTTACCTTCTTCATGCTCCTTCTCCACCTCATTGGCTGTCCACCGCGGCACTTTTTCCAATCGCTCCCTGGGAGTGTATATAGCGCTCGACGTGGAAAGCGATGGGCTGGCATGCGCAAAGGGTGTCCGTACCAAAGCATGCGATGTCGGACAATAACTTTCTGAAGACTGGCACTACTCGTTCCATGCACTCGGGCTCGGACCTTTGCGTTGCTTATATGGTGTCACCACCATACCTGAGCAATCCTTCGTACACAGCGATTGTCGAAGACTGACAGCCACTTCATGTCCTCCGAGAGAATAGGCCAAGTCTCACAGCCGTACAAGAGTACTGCACAGACGGAAGTATTGTACACCCTGCCCTTGAGCTTGAGACTGACATCAAGACGACGCCATAAATGTCTCAGCTTGATGAATGCAAAACGGGTCTTTGCAATCCGTTGTGAGACTTCATCTCCAACACCGCCACCAGCCGTGATACAACTCCCTAGATAAGTAAAGCAATGGACTTGCTTCAGAACATGTCCAGCAATGGTGAGCGCGGGTTCAGGCACCTGCCAGTCCTGGAGCAGCGTTTTACATCTTCCCGGAGTGAAGCATAAGTCATAGTTAGACGTCTCCATCGCTAAGCGGTCCAAAGCGCTCTGGACGGCTTGTGGGTCTTCCCCTAGCAAGGCGATATCACCATCGTAGTCCAAGTCCGTGACTCTGTCTCCAAGGAGGAGCTCAACACCGCAGTTCTGAACACTTTCCAGTGCTCCTTGGACGACATCTTCCATGGCAAAATTGAAGAGAAGGCGAAATAGGGCAACATTGGCGAACATCGCCGGTCACAGCAAGCGAAGAAGAGAGCGTGTTGTAAGTCCTGACTTTGCTCGACGTGTGACTGTAAAGCGCTTCCAGGAGGGTTACAAACTCGTCGGGCACACCTTTCTTCAGTAAACAGTTCCACAACGCAGATCTATCTACCGAACCAAATGCCGCTCGGATGTCGATTGTTGGCCGCCGGTGGATGTGACGGAGTTCGAGAAGTTGGCGGAGCATGAAGATTTGGTCGATGCAGCAGCGGCCTGGACGAAATCCGGTTTGTTCTTCTCGGGAAAGCTCATCTATATTCGTTGAAAGAAGTAGGACAGACACGAGGATTTTGGATACGACAGAGATTAACGAGATTCCGCGGTAGCTACCACAATCGTCGCGTGAGCCTTTCTTGAGAATCGGAACAATGACCGATTCTCCCCACGAGTTCGGATCCTTCTCCTCAGTCCAAACTTTAGTGAACAGTGATAGGATTTCGCTGACAAGTACACTCCCGCCATCTTTGAAAAGAGCCAGTGGCAGACTGTCGGACCCGGAGTCTTGTGGTGTTTCAAAGACTGGGAGTCTGTGAAGACAGGCCTAGCATCATCTGTTGGGGCTGGAGGTGCCACAGGGGCTGTGTTGGGTGGTTTAATTGAAGAGCGAAATGGTCTGCCAAGCGACCCAATAGCCTGTGAAGGTTGGTGATCGTGCCGTCTGATTCACAAGTCGTCTTGCTGATAGTGTGGGAATTGCAACCGGTGCCCTTGATGATGCCATATAGACGGCGGAAGTTGTCAGCTGACGCAGTGGCTTCCAACTCATCAGCTTGTTTTGACCACCAGGATTCACGATCAGAGGGTAAGCTTGCTTTCAGCTGTTTCGTAATAGACCAGTGGTGTACGTTGTGCTCTGCGCCAGCAGGCACCGCCCGTCGGCGATCCAGCAATTCCGAGGATCTTCCGGAGATCCAGCTTTTGGAAGTGAAGCGAGCGAGGCCACAAACTGGACAAACCGGTCGATAGCGTGGCTTGTTGCAGACTTGTCCAGTATTGATCAACATCCAGAGTGGGAGAGAGAGCGAGATTTTCACGGAGCCTTTGTTGGTACTCCTTCTTCACCACTGGGTCCCTCAACTTGCAGGTGTTCAGTCGGGTGTGTCTGGACCTAGGTGCCTTACGGAAGTGCATGTAAACGGTCGCACATATCAGTGCATGATCGGTATCGACGCATGCTGACCAAAATGACCGGCAGTCGTGTACGCTGCCGCGCCACCTGCGACTTATGGCTACGTGGGCAATCTGTGACCAGTGCTGGGTTGATGATGTGGGGGGGGGCGCCAAGTGGCGTTTTGGCGTCCAGGATGAGGAAAGATTGCGATGGAGAGGAATAGTTGGCGATCATTACACAGACTGAGCCGTGTTCCTTGGTTATGTTGGTGAAGAGCATCATACCCATGCGATCCCACGAGGTGGCGCTCACATGGCAGCAGCCGACCGACACGCGCGTTTAAGTCTCCTGCCAAAACAATGATGTCTGTTTTAAGAGCCCTTAGGAGGAGCACATGAAGGTTCTGGTAGAAGTGGTCCTTGACTGTGTCCGAGCTACAGTCAGTGGGCACGAGGCAGAGATCACGAAGAGCGCACGTTTTTCGATGGGACGTCTGCTAGCTTTACAAGAGCCATGGAGCCTCATCGCATAAAGGCGACTATTGATCAGAATCCATTCAATCAGAGCAGCCATGGCTCTAGCACTGAGGGCGATTCCAACACCAGTATGCTCCGATGCGCCAGACGGTGTCACCAGAGAGGCGGAGGTTGGAGCGGGTGCGTGGGTGGAGCGGTGATACCAGCTGGTAGACCAAGTTAGAGTCCTGGAGTCGTGTTTCATTCAGGCAGCAGATATCAATTCCAAGGTTCTCTAGCGTGCGTGCAAGTCCAACTTGCTGACCGATCTGCAGTAATGTGTGTTCGTTGAAGGCTGTAAGTTTGAACTGCGTTCCGGGTTGCAGGAGCGAAGAGAGGAGACTTTGGGACTGGAAGCTCTCTGTTGAGCACTGTGTAGTTGAGTTGACAGACGTCACGGGAACAGGTTCATCGGTGGAGGTGGGATTGATTGCCGTAGAAGAATCAGGTACAAATGGGTGTGAATGGTACAAAGGAAGAGTAGGTAAAGTGGTGGCGTATGGTTGTGAAGTTTGGCATAGTAACATGAGTGAATAGCATCGTAGCAGTAAGAGAGCGGGTGAATGGTTGTGGTTGTAAATCCATGGTTTGTCAGTAGGTGAGATACTACCCGGTTGCCTAGGCCGAAGTAAAGGGTTGTCTTAGGGGGCCCCACCCCGAGCCTTTGATCAAGGATGTAACCTACAAGACAGCAGGGCGATATAAGGGTATCGCAACCCGTTGGGAGCCGGTGTCCAAACAAGCGGTTCATACGCCTTTAGGACCGCATAGGACCAGGGCCCAACACACCCTTGAATTACGATGCCACTCAGAGAGAGGCAATGGGCAGTGACTTTATTTAGTGGCAAGTCACATCCATAACGTCACAGTGTTGTTCAACGGACACATGTGGCTTTTAATAGGGAGAACTCTTGCCAGGCGAAAGCCTACCACGTCCTGAAACACTACCGCCGAACCATTCGCTGGAACGGGATAATCCCGAACCACCCAGCTGGCACCACCAGAAGGTTGTTCGGCAAGCCAACCAGGAGGGCATTCCAGGCTTAGCAAACATGTACGGAATAGAAATTCCAACGGCATCTCATAGTAGTGTACTGCTCTGTCAGCTTGATATGATGCCCTCCCAGATTGCTATGTTGACTGAGCTCCGGTAGATGGCGGCACCTTTGGTTGGGGTCCGTCAAAATCTGATAAGTTATAACATCGTCCCCACGCAATCGTCAATGTTGTCCGCTGAAGACCCTGAGCACTCTCAGTCTTTGTTTGAGCGGCAGATACTAAAAGCCTCTGAAGTTCTTGCTTGCCCGACGTTCAGGCGTCTCCAAAGCGGTGAGATCTGTCCTCATCCATGGCTGCCAGTCTTGTATTGGGTATTCCATGTTTAGAAGCTACTGAAAAACCTATGTGTCGAATCGTTCGAATGAACATCTCAGGAGGCTCACGTTTTAGGTGCTCTTTCTGGACGCATTTTCTGTCTGGTTCAAACATCCAAGATTGCTACGGACCAAAACACCTAGATCATTTATACTGGAAGACGTTTGAAGCTTCTGGTTATCCAGTTTACAACCAAACACCAGCTGGTGCGTACATGCATCCCACTGTACTTTTCCACATTGAACCGAGGTATATTCTGGATAGGCCATCTGTAAACCCTATCCAGATCGACTTGAAGTAGTGTAGGATCACCTAATGTATTGATCACTCTCTGTACATCTGCATCCGAACAGCAACTTCTTCCTTGACACCATGCAATTGATTTGGCCCTCCACCATGTGTGCAAACTGCATGTCACCTTGTGCATTTTAACCAGATATTCTTCCTTAAGCTTCCTCAAACATTTTATTTGTAAGCACTGTTCTCGTATCTTTCTTCAATATAACTATCAGGTCACGCGGTTCGCTCTCAAAGCGACCCCAACTTCTTTCGCGGACACCTTATGAGATTCCGGCTGGAAGCGTTAAGAGGGATAAAACGCGGATAGGCTCCAATTCAATGTTAAATATGACACACTTGGATTCAACATCTCATACTAACTTGAACGGCAAATTAATTACCACCTCCGAGGAGGTTGTGGATCTCGAGAAGCCGCCACCCAAAAGATATACTGTGAAGCTCCGCAGCTATTCACCAGCCTCATTCTCCACATTGGCACCGCCACCATCCCCAGCACCGTTGCTGCGCCCGGCCAAAACGGGATTGAAGTCGGACCAAGCGCGCGGCCCGTTCAATCCGTCTGATCGTGAAAGCATTTGTTTTCACTTACCGGTAAGTGCTTGTTACCCCGTTTAGACTGTTTGTTGACTTTCATTTTTACCGTGATGCACCGTGCATGCGCTGAAGCCGTGTTGATGTGCAAAGCGAAGGAATCGTGATTTATCTTCCCCTGATTGTGGAGCACAGACAACGCTCTGCTAGACACGATTACACGAGACGCTATTGATCTTTTATCAGGTTTTATATTCGGCGTGCAGTGCACAGTCCTCGCACGACATCTGTGTGCAGCGTGGGTTTGTGTGTGATTCAACTTTGTGTACATGATTCGAGTCGGAGTTTGTAACAAGTGTCATCCGTTCACTTTCCAGATTCATCTGGTGATGCCTCTAATGCTATTTGTTAAACATCTGTTGGTTCATCGGTCCATACCATGCTCAACTTTTGATAACTGAACTTAATGATTTGCGTGCCATTCTTTGACATCTCTGGCGCCTCAAATGTTTGTCGTGCCTCATCACAAAATCCGCGCATTGCCACTCAAGTAAACCCATAAGGACCGTTTTCTATAGCTGATGGTGGGCAAAGCAGACGGTTGTCTTGGAAGCATCGGCTACTGCATTTTTCTTACCACCCTTTAAACGCATCGGCTTATTGCTCCTTACACAGCGTGTATGTTCGAGACCCTTGGGATTAGATTTACATGCATGGCTCTGCTGTGTAACAGCAATAACCGCTTAAGTGCACCAAATTGCATCCACTATGATTGGGATGGAAGAAGCGGAAGACCTCCTTTAGCGAAATTAGCGATTGAAACCTTAGGTTCTAATGCAAAACGTCGCTGATTTTTTGATCATCCCATCTCTGATAGAGTTAGTTGCCTTTGAAGTGACCTACTCCCGAGGCCTCCGTCCACGAAGGCCTCATGTATCATCAGGATTTACTCGTTTGGGGAGACTCTCCATGCTTGTCGCCATGCCATCGACTGCCGGCCTCTGAAGTTCATCTAATCAGGCGCAGTATATCCAAACGGTCCTGAGGTACATAAGCGATGGGTTGATGTACGAGAAGCATGATTTAAACAACTTGCACGATTACATTCATCAAGCTGTAGAGGCGACATCATGGAAATTTTTACTAAGCTACAACTGGCAGATCTTAGTATTATCTCCTCTTCAACTTCACGCAGCGTAGTCACCGTACGCTCATTCGAACCGGATTTACCAGCTCTACACAGTGATCCATCATACGTGGAATTATCTTTTACCACTAAAGTCCTAACCATCGCTAACGGATTTGACTGTCATCCGTGATTGAACACAAGCGGATAACTCATTCACCTTGTGCCCATTGCCCTTCTGTGTAACACCATTCGGTGCAGAATTCTCGAGGCAGTCCGAAAAGCCTAAGCTTATTCCAATCGGGTGTTTCTCAACGCATCTGTGAAGGAATTTGTGATCTCTCAATCTGTGTTCAGCGTTGTGTTTAGATTCATTTACTAGGTCCCAAACCAGCCGGGCCTAACATCGATCGATCAACCGACCAACACTGCAACGTGTGCTTACAAGGGATCACCGCTGACAGCGGGCGCGCCACGCTGACTCACGCTTATCATTGACGCGGGAAGCTGCACTAACTGATCATCCGACAAACGCGTGACCTTAAAACTTCACGCCCTCGGCGAACATGTCTCACGTTAAGAGCAAGTGTGAGTTGTGTGTTAAATTGGTGAAGAGTGGGCTAGTTTGCAGCAGTTGCTTGAAAACCTATCACACAAAATGCCTTGGGACGGAGTCGATAAAAACGAGACGGTACAATAACACGACAGAGGCGTTTTGGTTCTGCCCAGTATGCAGTGCTATCCCAGTTGTTAGCTGTCTAACTGTGCTACTGAAGAAGTGTGAAAGACTAACAGAAGCAGTCGAGCAACTGGTGTGCGCCAGGGTTACACCTATGAGAGGAAACGGACCTGCACTTGTATGTGAAAATAACACCCCGAATTCCCCATTCAGGCCGAAGAAGAGAGCCAGGCGTCCCAACCTTACCCCAACGACTCAGTCTCAATCAGTACCAACTCCCTTCTCTCTCTCTCCCATAAGTAAAAACATTGTCTGCAGCGTGCCTGCTTCAACTTCTGTACAGTGTGTTACACCTAGTAGTTTGTTCGCTATACAGGAGACCCTAAGCTGCAGTCAACCAGCCATAGTGAGGAACCAGGTAACATACGCATCGGTTGCCGCCAAGCAAACACCGGAAATAGCACCGGTAACCTTGGTGGCCGGACTAGAGAAAACTAAAATGTCGCAGCACGGATGGCCCCATCAGTGCCGTTCACAAATTCACCAAAAGCACCGGAAACTAAGGCTCCAAACCAGTAGCCACCAGGCGCAACCATGGTGCCTTAAACCTTGTGTGCACTAATGTCCCCGAATCCAAATCCAATACAATTAAGGGTAGGCTGACAGACGATCGAAATCAATGGAGTTCCATCTGTACGGCAATCGGTGTCCATGCTGATCCCACGACATTAAAACGCATCTCGCGTCACCCAAACGCATTGCACTACGGTGAACCCCGGTTACTTCGGGTAACACTAAACTCGGCGGATGAGACAGAGGCCGTTCTGCCGTATGAGTATCGACTCCGCAACGCCTCAAGTGGAGTGTGCATACTACCTGAAATCCCGTGGAAAGAACATTCAGCGGATCCCGCTAACAGAGAGAGGTACAGAAAATGTCAAGATAAGAAAACAGTGATTGCTCACGGTGTTCCTGAGCTTACAGATTCCTGTTCCGACGATGCCCAGATACACGACCGGGAGCAACGGCACTACATCCGTGAGGCTCTTTTTCTCGAAAATGTCGTGGCCACCTCGTTGACAAGGATCCCCTTATCACCGAACTATAAGGGGTGCGGTCCCAGGCTGTTGAAACTGGTGTTGCAATCAGAACTAACGGCACAAACTCTTCTAGAGAACTGGACTAAATTCTGTAGCAGGTTGCCAACAGAAATTCGTCTGAAAGCAGCAGGAACACCACCACCTTCTAATGACAACTCAGTGGAGGCGCAACTCTCAATGAAAACACCAACTGTAGGACCCGACTCGGTGACGGTTTCAACAGTAGCTATAACATCCGGAGGGACACAGCAGAGCACGAGCGAACACCGGGATCCGAGGCATCTGATACTTGAATATATACCAAATTCGTCTCGAGAGTCTGCAACCCATCCAAAAAACGATTAGCCGCCGACCTTACATCGGTCGGCGTAAACTCACTTTCTTCATCCATTCCACCCAACACACTTTTGGTCTCCTAGAAGCTCTCATGCATGTACACAAATGCCCAAGGTCTAATTAGCAAATTGGCTGAATTAAGACTTTGACACGCGTCAGCAGCTTTGGACCTCATCGCTATCACGGAAACCTGGTTACTATGTGAGATAACGGATGCCGAAATCGCGCTAACAGGAATATCTGTTGTCCGGAAGGATCGAGCCAGCAAAGGTGGTGGGGTTGCCCACTACTTTCATAACAATCTGCAGTGCGAACCCATACACGATTCGGAAACCGATGTACCTGACTCCATTTGGTGTAGTATCCGGCTGAGCGGAAACGATCTTGGCCTAGTAGTTGTTTACCGACAACCATCGTCTACACCTGAGATGGACTGCAACTTGGTGGCTGCCTTGAGGCAGGTGATAAACAGGAAGTACAGCCATGTTCTAGTCGCCGGCGATTTCAACTTACCTGCTCTAGAATCCCAGGCCACACCAGGAGAGCAATTCAAAGCAGACCTGCAAGATCTTGTCCCAGATTTTCCGCTTTATGGCCACTTCACTTCGCCCACCAGATTCAGGGGAAATAACAGGCCATCCATATTGGACCGAATATTCACTAATGAAGAACTGATGATCAAGAGAGTGATAATCGATACTCCTATTGGACGCAGTGCTCATGCGACTTTGCATTTCATGTACACTTGCTATGCTGAATATCCCGAGGACCGAACTCAAACAACGCGAACCGTAACCAGTTACGACACCTTAACCCGACTCGTTGAAGCGACCGACTGGATTTTCCTAACCGAGGATGCACCCGATATTGCCTGGGAACGTTTCGTCAGTAAGTTTAACACCCTGGTTAGTGGAGCATCGGAAACCAAGACTATCAGTTCGAGAAACATGACGTCGTTTATACGGAGTAGGACACGCAAACGCATGGTGATGCGCAACGCGGCGTGGTATACCCACAAAACCGATCCGAGTCCGAGTACCTGGAAGGCCTATGTTGTCCACCGTAACCACTGTATCCAATTAGTGTGCGAAGAAAAGTAGCTTATCAACATGCTTTAGCCGAGCGATTAACTTCAAATCCTAAGCTTCTGTACAAGCACGTGAACAGCCTCCGCAAGGTGAAAAGTGGATTTCCCCCTCTTCAAACAGCGGATGGTCTAACTCGGACCGCTAAAGAAGCGTTGAATGTTCTGCAACGACAATATGCACCAACATTTCATTGCATCCCGTGGTCTCCTGAAGCTTTGGAATCTATGGTGCCCACACCAGGACTGACTCATGTAAATTTTACCGCAGACATCGGGATGAAAAAGCTGCTATCCATTCACCTACACGCCTGTCCAGGAATTGACGACATCCATCCAAAGATGCTTGCTGTGGCGGCTACGATTTTGACTGAACCATTGGCGCAGCTGTTCCAGCACTGCCTTGACGAGCAGCACGTTCCTGCAATGTGGAAACACGGAATAATAACTCCCATTTACAAAAGGGGTAGTCGTTCCGACCCAGCTAATTATCGACCAGTGACTCTACTGCCAGTTCTTTCAAAAGTTATGGAGGCTATCATTGCCGACGCACTCATGTTTTATCTAGACGGCTTTGGTTACATTGCTCAGCAGCAACACGGCTTCCGCCAGAATCGGTCGTGCACAACCAATCTATTGTTAGCACGAGACAGCTGGACCGGAACTGTGGACGCTGGTGCAGGAGTTGATGTGGCTTACCTTGATTTATCTAAAGCATTCGACCGGTTGGACCAT